CTGCTACTGCTACTGCTGCTCTTGCTCCTACTAAACCACCAATACTACTGCTCCTCCCCCTACCCTGCTGCTGCTTCTGCTTGTGGCTGTACTTCTGCAAATGCTGCTGCTGCTCAAGCTCCTGGCCGCAGCCCTGCTATGCCCTGCTTGCCGGTTCCCCGCTGATGGTGAAGTCATGTGAAGGCATAACAGCCCCCAATACGAAGATCAGCGATGGGATTCATTGAAGGCTCAAGAGATGACGGAACGCGTGCATGCCGGCGAGTGCGTCTCTCTGGCTTTCCGTACGGTGTACTGGATTGCAAAAACGTAAATTGGATCATGTCATTTACTTGCATCGCTCAGCTGGGGCCGTCACTCAGATGGCGGCCCAACTTCAGGGTGTACGCAAGCCGTTGGAATTCGTGCACCTGATGGGTAAAACTACACCCTCTGTGTCAGATGTGCCGGCTTAGGTCCTTGGACTGCAAGGTGCAAAGATTCCCAGAATTACCCCGTGCAGCAACTTGGAATCTGGCTTCCTGAGACTCCTCAAGAGGCGTGCATCGAGACCTGGGCATTGTGGTATCTCAACACTTTCACACATGCAATTAAGAGAGAGAGCTACGAATGGAGTCGAATCAACGTCAGACATTCTTAGAGAATGAGCCCGCATGAGTGCAGCGGTCATGGACGATCATCGCAAAGACTCCGGCCCATCCTTGGCTAGCACGTCGGCCTTGCAGTTGAGCAGTACAAAATCACTCGACAGACTCAAAACGACTCAAACCTCTTGCCTTCTGACCGTCGGGCTGGCGGTCGTGAACACTCGCACCTCAGAGGGACGGCCGATGTAACGTTCTGAGGCTGATGGAGTGGAAGTGGTCTTGCTGCAACCGGTGCATGCCTCTGAGCAAGGACGACACAAAGGCCGGAACCGTCTTGCATCATCATGGGCACCTGACCAAGCCGATCCAGTCGCATGACATGGTCTCAGCACACGTCACTGTGTGAGAGCTGTCCGCTGCCTCCGCTGTGAGATCAAAGTCCGCACTGCCAAGCTCCTGCAAAGCTGTGCAGACCAAAAGCTTGAAAAGGGGAGGAGAGCTATTAGAGCATCTGAGAACTTGAAGAAGCTGCCTGCGATTCAAGCTTTTCAGCTGCTAGCTCTTTTCGAGCTGCCAAGGTGACCGGAGCACTGATCTCAGCACTCAGGGTGTACGCAAAGGGATACGCTCGCCGCTATTCGGATATATGGCTGAAACCGTGCCGTCTGCAAAGAACTCCAAAGCCGAGGGATGTGCGGTGCCCGTGTAGTACTGCGAGATTAATGAATCTGCGAGGACGAAGCTCCCTCCACAGCGATCATGTATTCGTCCATCTGGCTGGGCGGTATGACCGACGATCATTCTGGTTGCTCCTGTGAGTTCCAATGTCTTCTGGACCTCCTGACAGGCCTGAGGCTCTGGACCAAGCGCAAGCTGCCTGGTCCAGAAAGGGCCTTCATCTCCAAGCAGCGGCGACGGGTCCTCCCTGAGATCGCTTGCGTCTTTGTCTTCGAGGAGCCCTTTCACAGCACCGTTCAGCTCCTCTGCATCCCCACTTTCGATGAAGCTTGGCAGGAGTCCAGCATGGACAAAAAGCACTGGCTTCGATAACCCATCCTTTGGACCAAGCAATGCCACGGCTTGCATGCGTTGTCGTATGGCCTGTCCAAGCCAACCTTTTGCCGAGAAGGCCTCAGACCTGGAGGAGCTGTCAGAAAGCAAGGACAATGTGTCCTTCTTCGTGGCATAGCGGAAATCGTTTTCCAGGTTCATGAGCTCATGGTTGCCAATGAGGAGAATCACTCGGCCACCGTGCGCAGGAGCCTCATCCTGCAAACGAAACAGTGCTCGGAAGATGTCGCCAGATTCATCCCCACGATCGGTGATGTCTCCCGTCTGGACCAGAATCGCTGTGCCTCCGGTCCACTCACCGCCCTTTCCCATCAGCCCAAGTGATGTCAAGATCTTCACTGTACTCTTGTAATCACCGTGTAAGTCGCCGACGGAGTAGACAGACCGAACGTCTGTTTCTAATGCAGATACAGCTAGTGCACCACGAGGCATCAACATGCAAGCAAACAACATCATGGCAGCGCCAGCTGCCTGCCAAACATTTGATATGCCAGGTCTTTGGGACGGAGGTACTCCATGTCGCACTGTTCGCAGCGGTGCACGCACTCGGCAAAGAGGCTCACGAAGCAAGGAGCTGCAGAAGGAGAGCGTAGCCGTGGAGCAAGCAGCCAGCAACAGCAGCACAAGCTTTCGTGCGAAGATCATGAGGCGAGGACCCGACACCATAAGCATCCAGGGCAGCAAGATGATGGACTGCGAATGCTAGCAAATAGCCATGTGAACAAGGACTTGTCAGCAACACTCGTCTGCCAACATCTGCTGAACTGACAGCATGAACTGAACTTTCTCTCTGGAAAGGGTCACCTGCGGACAGAAACATCAGAACCAAACCCAAAATGCAACAACCGCTACTATGATTGTTACCACTATGACTTCGGCTGCTACTTGACCCATAATTCTGACTCTAGCTATAACTTTGGCCGGCAGTCACTATGACACTGACAACTACTTTGACCATGATTATGACCAGGGTTGCGACTATTACCATTACGTACTCTTGCTGTGACTAGTACTATGACTATGACTCGGACTCTGACCTTGGCTATGCCTATTGCTTTGACTACTGCCGTTGCCATGGCTACTGCAATTGCGGTTACGACGAACACGACGACAACGACTACTACTCTTGCAATCCCTCTATTATTAGTACTATTCCGGTTACGACTTCATTGTTTATCAGTAGCAGTACTACTATTTCGATTTGTATTTCCATGTCTAATTCGACTTCAATAACCATTGCTGTTCCTATTGCCACCACTAGCAGTGGTAGTATTAGCGTAGTAGTAGTAGTAGTAGTAGTAGTAGTAGTAGTAGCAGTGGTAGCAGTAGTAGTAGTAGTAGTAGTAGTAGCAGTAGTAGCAGTGGTAGCAGTAGTAGACGTAGTAGTGGACGTAGTAGTAGACATAACAGAACACGTAGTAGTAGCAGTAGTAGTAGCAGTAGTAGTAGCAGTAGCGGTAGTAGCAGCAGCAGCAGCAGCAGCAGCATTAGCAGTAGCAGCAG